CACTATGTGGTCTGTCCTCTACCCCTTTCCTGAATTTTCTGCTTAACAGCTTTGGGGGCGGTCTCTTCTATGTGAATGATTTATCACGAAACAAACTTCTGCATGTTTTAAAGTGCATTTGCTGCTAAGGAAGATGTTAAATGGGCAGTTCTGAGGTTTAGGTTTCATTTTTACCCACGGGCTATGCCAAATTAGTGAGATTTTGGTGTAGTAAATATTTTCAGCATCCCTAACCAGAAYATAAGTAATCTGAAAGAGGTAGTTCTGGAGAGCTGAGAAGTAAGGCGCCATGTGGGAAAATTCCTTTAGTRATTACCATGCTGGGTAGTGGAAGGAAAACCAAATCAGAAATCCCTCTTTCCTTTACAGGTTCATTTTTCCAGCTAGAAGGCTCTAATTCCTCTTAAAATAGATAGATGAACATCCCAGCGGTTCTGGAGGTATTAGAGTTGTAGGTGTATAATTAAGAGCACATAATGATTTTTCTTACCATAGTGTTAGTCTTATGGTGAGGAGTATTTTGAGTGAAACTTCTGCAACTGGAGAGAGGGCTGCRCCTTGGAGCTGTCAGCCCCTAGGGCAGCTTTGAGATGAAGGCATCGTGACAACAGCGTGTGCTCTGAGAAGAAAAACAAGGTCGCGGTTTCAAAATATTTCCTGACTGCAGCATGGAGTGCATAATGTGATGAGTAAAGATAAGCAAAAGGGACTTGGAAAGGAAACCAGAAAAAAGGGGAAGAAAAAGAACAGCTGAAGAAATCCTGATGAAAATATGAGCCAGATAGATGGAGAAGGAAGCCWGAGTTTGATAACTTGCTCACTAGTGGTACCCGAGTTCAGTGTTTTTTTAAACTCCTCTATCTTTGTCAAGGTGAAGGGTTTGACACTGTTAAAATGGTGTGTTTTATTTCAGTGTTATGCAAGAAATTGCTACTTTCTTTCTCAGAAAAAGAGGAAGTCCCCCTGCCCATGCTTAATCATAGTTTAAGTAATTTCTTCACTATTACAAAATACCCTTCTTATGGAGGATGTTTTTATATGGGTTGGCTCCCAGCAGGACKTTTCCTATTCAGCTTCAGCCTTGTGTCTTGATCTCTGTGAGTGTATTTAAAAAAAAAAAAAAAAAAGAGAGAAAAAAGTCACAGGATAGAATGGCAATATAATACTTCCAAAATAAAAACGATCAGAACCCTCTGCGAGAGAGAGGAAGCCCATTAACACAGCCCTCAAAAGCGTGTGAGAAAGAGAAGCAGGAACTGTTCTGATGGAAACCATAGSAGAAACACAGGAATTAGAGGGTGTTTGGAGGCCGTTGTCCTACAGAACATTTGAAGGTGAGAGCAAGAAGCGTGAATGTGATTCAGAAGGCAACAGGGCTTTCTTTGAAGTTGAGAAAATTTGCCAGACTTTGTACAAGGTCTGTTTAAATAAAGACTGTCTGCAAGACTGGATGTAATATTTGGTTATTAAATAAAAGGGCATCTGCTCTCATAAAAGCCACCCTGTTTTGTTCGTGTATGTTATTGGCTATTTTCCTGTTTTGTACAGGCTTTTTCTATAGAATAAGCTCATGGCAGCCTGACAAATGGAGCATTTATTGTGGCTAAAAGTACTGTAAACAAAACCAAAATAGCAAGTTTTATTGACTTTTATAATGCATTACAATTTTGAAAATTGGCAGTGGTAGAGTGGAATTTAGTATTCTAGGGCCAAAATGTTGTTATCTGAAAACAGTGGACTTTATTTTCCAATTCTTTTTTTATATTATATACAATGCTGTTTCTCTATTTGCTGCTCACGCCCATATGTTGTAGAAGCAGATTATAATGAGAAACATTTACAGACTCGGTTGCTCATTCATGTACAGCTCCACACAAGACTTTTTTTCTGTTTGCATTTATTCTCATCTGCTTTAAAAAAAATAATTATTTGCCTTTGAATTAGAACAAAATCATGAACCGAGTCTGCTTCTCATATTCTGCTGTTACGAGCTGAAGCATATGGAACCTTCATTACAACTAAAACGAGATAAACTCTCCAAGGTAACAAAAAACCTCCGTGAAATTCCTATAAAATTAAATATATGTGTTTTATACAAAGATCTGATCCAGCAGTCATTATTCAAGCAGAAATTCCACTGAAGTCCAGAGGAATTTTGCTGGAATAAAAAGTTTATGATGAAATTCCTTTGGAATCAGTAGTGGTGTTGATCCTGGTCCCAATAGGTATGAGATCCAGTCCCTGGTGGGATCCTGTTATCTTATTCAAGTGGGAATATCTTCTCTGCTTGCTTTTCCAGCTGAATTTCTTTTTAGTAAAAGGTTCTTCAAAGTCTATTCTGAAAAAGTACCAGCTGCAAAGGCCATGCACTGGTTGTGTGTTGAAATTCTCCTTCATAGAGATGCCATTAGCAGTTGAATACTGATAGCAACAKGGAATACTTGTTAATTCATAATAAGAATATCAATTACATTGTTTTCAAAGGAAAAGTTTCCTTCCAATGTCTATAATCCTGTTGATTCTAAAGGAAAAATTTCCTTTCATACAGCAGAAGCTTAAGAATACATATCTTGATGCTGTTCTAGAACGGGTTAGCAGTATCATACAGCGATTTAAAGTTTCAGTGATTGCTAACTGCAAACATACCAAAATTCATGAATCTTATCAGATACAATATTAATGTCAAGACGTGCAAGGAAGGAGAGTTAGAAGGAGAAAATGCATCTTTACACTGAGCCATTAAGTTTGAATCCCGAGTGAGGTCCTCYAAAGGACTTGGGGTCTCTCTGTCCATTAAACGTCTTCAAACACCAGGTTTGCTGTGTGGTCCGTAAACGTGTGCTCCTTCTCTCGCTGTGAATACAAACAACATCTCCTGTTAATTTTAGTGACTATCTAACCAACCGTGGCAAGGACTTTTTCTCAGTTTCAGGGTGCTTTTTCTTGAACAAGCAAAGTCTATTTTAATTGAAAATATATGGCCTGCGTCTCATGCAGGTTTATTGGCAAAGCTTTGCTTGTTGTGGTTGTGGTGTTGTTCTTTCTTTGCATTTTCTGTTCTCTTGCTCKCTCTTACAGCTGTGTAATAAATAGATGGGCTTCTGTTGTTTATGTTTTCATTAAATACTCTGTAGATGAATTAAAGAGTTGCTGGAATCAGTAATCTGGAAAGGAAATCTTATTAACGAAAAAAGGAAAATGATGTCCATTTTTTATGGAGTTAAAATACTTCATTATTTGCGTGAGTGTTTAACATATATAGGTATGGAGTTATCTCACGGACTGAAAAAAAACTTCCTTCCTAAAGGTTTAATTGTCCTATATTTTTTTACTTAAAGATCGGCTCCTYTGGATCCACATTGTCCTGTGTTAGGACAGAGGATTTCTTTTTTTTATTATTATTTTGTTTTAGTATGGTATATAAAATCTTTTGGACATAACAAAGCAACAAAAAAGTCATAATACTCTTTCCTCTTTATTATTTCTTTGGCAAGTCACCTTTAGGGGTGTTCTGTCAACTCAAAAAATGGTATCTCTGCCTGCAAACCTGATTTCAGCTGTCACCTTTAGAAATATTTATGAAATCTAAAAGGAAATTGAGGGCTATTTTTCTCCTTTTTTGACCTTATTTTGTGTATTTGACAGTGTTGAATAATGTATGTACCGCTGCATAATCAATTTCACAGCTGTGCTGYTAGGCAAGTTCACTTTTTAGTCTCCGGTTCAAAAGTTATCCCGTCCTGATAAGGCTCTGCTCTACGTTGGCAGAGGTGCACACATTTCTCCTCACACTCCACTATGGGGTAGGACAGTGAGACAGTAACTGAGGGGTTGCTAACACCCCAAAATTGAACTTTCTCTTGAGCCAGCTGATGCAAGCATGGAGTTATAAATACATATTTTATGTATATATATGGGTATATTTGTCTATAAGGTAAATTAGTAGTTTATTTTTTAACATTTGGGAAGGATTTGTACACTTTTCTAGGACTCRTGGCTGTAGCATCATCACTACACGGGTAAAAGAGTGTTTTAAGGTGATTTGTCTTCTCTTCCCTGAAGGTTTTTAATGAGCTTGGGAAGTGTATTTGTTTTATTTATTTAACAGTGAATTAAGTCCTATGGTACTTGTCATATGGTGGGAGAAGTGTTAGAAAATTCAAGTCCTGCAAAAAGATAAAAAATGGCAATAGAGAAGATGTGAAAGTAGTCAGATGGGTTTAGAGAAAATGTGAAAGTAGTCAGATCTGTATTTGAATATGCCCACGTGCCCCTTCTGAAAGGAGACCATTGGTGATATGTACATGCAGAGAACTATAGGGAAGGGGTAAAATATGGATGATGATGAAGATAATGATGATGATAATGATGAAGAAGAAGCCTTTATTGGCCTGTCCAAGAAGGACACTTGGTTTTTTGAAACAGATGATGACACCTTTGCTCTCCCATGTATGGAGTGAAGGGCCATTTCAGGCTACTGGTGGCYTGCAAAAAAAAAGGGGGGGAGGAAAAATGTTTGCTGATGTATAAACCTAAGCAAAATCAAAGGAGAGAAGGTAACTGGGTGAAGTATTTGTCATGCRATATACATCCAGGTAGTATACATCACTGCTAAGTAAAGGCCACTTGGAMTATATCAGTACTTTTAAATGGCAAAATAAAATTCATTTATATTCATAATTAATGTTAGATGGAAATTCTGCTTTGTAAGCAGATGCGAGCTCTTTAAATGTGATGAAGTTTGAAATGCTTCCACCGAATCGACTTTGGTCCTTGAAACGAGAGAACACAGCAAAAAGCTTTTGCTTATTCATTTATTAATTGTTTCAAACACAAAAGAAGACAGGTTTTTCAATAGGAATGTTATATTTTTAGTAGTGGAATTCGGTTTTCATGTTTTTGAGTTTTAATAGCAAGATGGATACAGTGATAAATAACATAATAGTTTAATGTCTAGCTTCTAGAAAACACAACGTGACTTKCTCTTTTTCTCCTTTAAGGTGGTTTAGCCTAGAGTCCAAGCAAGGAAAGAGAACTAAAGACAGAGGAGAAATAAAGGTCAATATTCAGTTCATGAGGAATAACATGACAGCGAGTATGTTTGATTTGTCAATGAAGGACAAAACCAAATCCCCTTTCGCCAAACTGAAAGACAAAATGAAGGGGCGAAAGAACGACGGGACGTTTTCGGATACCTCCTCTGCGATCATTCCGAGCACCCACACACCCGATGCAAACCCAGAGGTTTACGGGAGTGAAGTGCAAATGAAATCCAAACCAAAAAAGCCTTTCCTGCTGGGACCTCAGCGCCTGTCGTCAGCTCACTCCATGTCAGATCTAACAGGACCACACATCTCTTTGGAAAAGATGAAGGCCGGCACGGTTGGCTACCCACATGTTTTCAAGCGCCAACTGGAATCGTTTGGTTCGGTTGATGAAGGTGGTAAGTGAAGCACTAGCTGCTTAATTTTAGCCATTATAATTACAGTTCATTACTATAAGTGTGACAAGATTCAAGCATCTTTTTCTTTAGTTTGTGAAATAACTATAAGACTGAGAAGTTAAGGATGACCTAATACTTCCACCTCCATTATTTGGCTGTAAATGCTAAATGCAATTTCAGAGCATGGTAGCTGGTCATATTCTATGATAAATTATCAGTTTTCTTACGTTCTCATTTGAGTGTATGTTATAATGGGCCATTGCATAGATGGAATTCTGGGTGAAAGTAGCTTGTCTTGTGAAAAGAAGAATCTACTTTAAAATATTGAAAACTATCATCAAAGTATTAGATCCAATGTATAGGAAAATCTGCAAAGTTTCCATTGCTCAAAGTGATCATGCACCAATAGACTACTGTCTTTTTCTTAAACGCCACTCCAGCCACAGCTTTCTTCTCAATAATACCTAGTTTTGACACAGAAGAGAAGTTTACAGTTGTGAATGTTGCTTCGTTAAACTTTTCTTAACTATAGTCATGGCTGCTCATTTTTTATAAAATTGGTTAGTTATTCTGTGTTTTGAACTGAGATTCTACTGCGAACCATCTAGACCTGAGCTAAAACGAAGCTTTTTAAAATGAAACAAAATGAAGTTCTCTGCATGTCATAAATGATGGTATAATATCTCATTGCCTATATACTAATGACAGATTGTTTGCAGGGAGCCTAAAATCTCCTCACAGAAGGACATTAAGTGTTGATACTTCTAAAATGAACCAGCCTGACAGCACAGTTGATGAAACTGCACTTGAAGCACAAAATGACCCATTTACCAACGTGAGTGCTTCTCTACCCCAGAAATTTGCCACACTGCCACGACAGAAGAACCCCTTTGAAGAAAGCCCGGCAGCGTGGGATCAAAACATAAGTTTTTTTTCCAAGCCTGTTGAAATCAAAAAAGAAATTAAAAAAGAGAAAAAAGAGAAAGTTAGCCTTTTTGAAAGAGTGACTGGGAAGAAAGATAGCAGGAGGTCAGATAAACTTAGCAATGGGGGATCAGACAGTTCTACTGATTTGAAATCACCTAGTGCATTTGGTGAAACTCATCAGGAGAGTTTTGATTATGAGTCAACTAATCCGTTTATGACAAACTTCAAGCCTACAAGCATGTTGCCATCTTCAAGGTAGGTTTTTACTGTATTGTGATCTGATATCTTGAACATGTTATATAAATGAAAATGAGAAGTGTTGAGGAACACAGTCTGTGCTTTATATATATGTTTATGTAATTACTTGTCAGATTCTAAGTAAAAATTATGAACTTATATAGTTTTGAAGTTACATTTTATATTGGGAGTCATTTTGGAGTTGCATTTATATTGCTAATATGTACTGAGGAGCGTTCTGAATTGCTTGGGCTTTTGGAAGACCTTGCTCATGCTTCAGAACAGGTTTCTAAAATCCTGTCTTTGAACGCTTCTTGCTAATTATTACGCTCTTGCTAATTATTACACTGCCTAATTCGAGGGCAAGATTTTAGAAGGGAACTTGAGGAAGCAGAAGCAGAATAAATAAAAGGATAAAGAAAAAGTAATGAAAACACATTATACACTGTGAATGTCACCACTTGAGAAAATTTGGGTTTAGATTATGTGTATTAAACCATAAGAACTGAACACCATTTATTTCCAAATGAGAGCACCCACATGGGCACTTCACATGTTTGAATTCATTTGGCTCCCTGCAGCTTTTCTGAATTCCTATGAATTCAAGCCCTTGCATAAGACAGAAATTCTATGTGCTAAACGATGTGAATGGAGTTGTAGGGGCTGATAAACTTTSATCTAAATAAGCCAGGTTCATCTTTGTTTGCCTATCAACAGTTTACTTGTTTTCCTTTAAAAATAAAGTGCATCCTTCAGTTTGGTTTATTTATTTATTTATTAGATAGGAAAATATATCTCATATACATGTGCATGAATAAATGAACATACCATCTGTACTGCATACCCCATAGGAAAATGTTTCAGCAATTACATAGTTTAACTTTTATTCATTTGAATTCTTACTTTTTCTGTATGTTAATGCTAGAAATTGTTTAATAGCCTGTTTTTTTTAAAAAAAGGTAATGATTCATTTTAATTTCATGAGTTAYATTGGTTTATTCATTCCCTTTCTCAACAGCACTAATCTTGAATTAGTTACATAAAKTGAAATGGAGCAAAATCCCCCTACTAACTGTAGAAAAGAGGCATTTAGTAGATTCYCCTGTAGACTTCAATGAATTTTTTTGTGTGTGTTTTTTTTAGTGTTTTCTGTAAGTCAGGTCAGTTCCACTGTCATAAATAATGTGTATGTCTACAGCCAAACCCTTAGAATATTGTTTACTTAATTATGGATTTTTCTAGATTAGAGTAAGGTTAGGATGTAGTTTGGTTTTTAAGAAGTTAAACTTTCATTTAAATAAGCTAATTTAAGCAGGAGTAATTTAAATAACTTCAAATTTTATAGCATTTATTGTTTAAAGTGAAGAATATATTCAGGCAGTTGTTAGATATAAGTAGTGAAATCTTTTAAAGTTCTTGAATGCAACATATCTTGATAAATATATATCTTCAACAGTGATCATTATAGACTTTTCTTCCCTTTATTTTGTAATTAAAAAGCTCATCACAGTGCCTGCTTAGGAGGACTCTAGTTGTTCATTCCTTCTCTTTGTACAAGTCTCTTTTACACATTCTTGACTTTTATGTAGACATATACTTTTGATAAGACAAATATCTATTATATTATTTTCTAAAAGCCAAAAATAGAAGAGGTCATACTGTTTATTATAAGACAGCTATTATGGAATAATAGCTATTGTTCAATATTTAAAGTTGTTTGCTYTCTATTTTTGTATGCGCCACTATTATGGTCCATGAAAACTTTTAAAAAATAAGTTCACTTTCTTTCATATATATCTTACACAATGATTTTCTTTTGAAGTAGAGACTAATACAAAATGTGCATATTTAATAAGTTTACAGTTTAAGTTTACCTTTTATCTGTGGAGGACATGTTGAATAGAATCCATTTTTTAATTTTGAGAATTAGTAATACTGTGAAGAAAGAATTGTATAAATCTGTGGCACAAGATAAATGAGGTTGAGCAACAAATTCAGTATGCAGAAAGCATACACAGAGAATTTAGATTTGGAGTTGCATTTTATTTACTGAACATACTAAGCCCTTTCTTTTTGCTGGACAGCATCTTCAAGTAGGTAACACCTTCTTAATTACAGACAGAACAATAAAGCTTGTTAAAAATAGTGGTTTAGGGTGGATGAGGAGCTTGCTTTGGAGGTGAATCTCCACGTTATCCTCCTGTAGGCACAAGTGGACATTGGGTCTTTGAGACAAGACCCAAGTGCCAAGGATCCCCAGCCCTGCCGCGTGCACGGAGCGGGTGTCCTGGTCAGTGTAGCCCATTCCTGATGTCCAGGACCAGTTAGTTCTGCTCTGGATTCGCTTCTGCTGCTCTACGCTGCCCAGTGGTGCAGGCAGCAGCTGAGGGAGAGTCCTGGGGCCTGGGCCCTGCTCTGCCACAGCAGAGCCACACACGTGCAGCCCTGTCCCCCACGCGCCGTGGGRCAAGTTGTAACAGAGGGACAAACTGGAAACGTGGGGCACACGTGTTGGCACCGTAATTAGATGATGCTGGTGGCCAAAGCCCTTGACTTTGTGGGGGGAAATTCTTCCAATGTTTAGGAGTAGTAGAAAGTAAAGGATCCAAGATGACTGGAAATAAATAAGAGGATGAAGTCATATTTTCATACACAGGTAAGAAGTTCTGTTTCTCCCCATGAGGGAGAAATATTTATAGCTGGTTTCCTCTGCTAGCTATATAGTTATGCCTTTTTTTTTTGTTTGATTCCATTATCTGTACACAGTGAATACCTCATGAAATAACTTTAAATAGGAAATTGCTTTCCTAAATTCAGACCAATAAGCCCATTCATTACAGTATCCTGTCTAGTTAGAACCAGATGCTTCAGAAGCTGCAGGATGCCCCATGAGGGGCAATCCCTGGGGGAACTTGTTTGGGAAGGAGTTTTCCCTAGCCCACTTCAGCTTGTTTGGTTTACAAGAGTTTGATTTCTCTTTCTTTTTGTTCAAATTTCATAAACTGTTGTGGTTAAAGCTACTGCTTTTGCCAAAATGGATATCTTTGCCCATGTATTATTGCCAAATTTTCTGACTCAAATGTGGTATTCACACTTTACTTTTTATATTGTTTACAGAACTTGCAGTTAATTTATCAGACTTCTCGACCAGTGATTTTAATTGATTAGAAAATAAAGATTTGGGTTTATGATGATGTACTCTACTGTTTTCCTCCAGGTTTTTGGAATACCTTCAAATCTTTATTCATGTAAAAGGCAGCGTGAGATGTTTTTAGTTTCATGCAGAGGTGAGAATCTCAGAGAGAGAGGGCTTTTCTCCGTTCTCCCTTTGTAAAAGAAAGAGTAAATTCTCCGTGGGCCGACTCCAAAGTCTTTAAAGTTGGTGGGAATCTTTTCCAGTGGTTTTGGTGAGCTTTGGGTCACACTTAGAGTCCATGCTAATTAATTTTGTTTGATATTCTTGACTAAGCAATAATGATTTGCAGAGCAGCGGTTGATAATAGTATCACTGACAGTTGGCTGGCTGAATTGCTGACCAAGAGCCCTTAACCCAGTCAATCTTTAAGAAGAGCCAACTGGCTGCATTCATATGGCCAAGAACTGCTGTCAATAATTGCTGTTAGTTRCTTATTTTCACTCTTTTAATTAATATACTTCCTTTGTGTTTCCCAGATACTGATAAAGGGAAATTAGCAGTTGTTTAACAAAACTTACAGGATTTTTCCCTAAAAGCAAGAAGTATGCGAGAGTTAWWTGAAAATCATGATTTATGGTTATTTTACTTAGAAAGACTTAGTAAGAATCCTGGGGGAGAAAAAAAAAAAAAAAAAAGATGGGCAGACACATGTTCTGTGACCTTGGTTTCCTGCTCTAGTTCCGTCCTCTGTATAATAGGGATGATACTCAGTTACCTCTTCTAAACACTATATGTATCAATAAGTTTTTATTAAGGGCTTTATAGCTACTGTACTATGTGTGTTAAGATGTTGTTTTATTGTCTGGGATAAATTTACATGACAGAATTGAGCTATCTTCTTGACTTCTAAAACATTTTCTAGTCTCATAGARACAGAAAAAAAATGTGTTTTTGTAGGTGTTACAAAATACATGATTTCCAAAGGATCCATGTCATATAGCCAATGTAGAATTATTAAGCGCACAATATGATTTAGAATGTCAAGTCATTCTTTAGCAATAACGAGGTTTGTCTTCAGACTTACAAATACACTGCTTTGAAACTTTTAACCAATATTTTCTTAAATGCAATCATTCTTATAATTACTTTTGTTAATTGTCGTGGCTCTCAAGAGGTTAATTTGCAGTCAGTAGCCACATGGATTTTGTATCAAGCACAATTAAATAGGTTGACAGTGCTCCTGGTAAATAAGAATTCTTTGTGAAATGACCAAACCTTTATACATGATTTCTCTGAAATTGTTTGTGTTTAGGAAAATACACTACAGTAGGCTAATAAACTGATGTGAAAATTTCTCAATTTACACCATTTGACAGGTGCTAAAAGAAAAGCATCTTTAATTTTAATGTGTTATTAGGACCTTTTTAGAGAGATAGTACAAGTTATTAACAAGGTCCTCTGAGACAGGAGACGGGTAATTAACAAGACCTACAGAAAGAGAGTTTAGGTAATTAACAAGATCTTAGGCACTGGACACAGGGAAACAAATAGTCCAATATTTAAAGCTGACAGGTTGTTACTAGTCTGATCAAATTCTGGATCTGGAAAATTCAAAATTGAATTGACAGGTGCCTATGAATCTTCTAAGAAACATTTATATATGTGTGTGTAACTGTGTGTGTGTGTGTRTATATATATTCCTCCACACAATGTATATGCATGTAGATATGTAAATATATATGCATGTGCACATATGCATACACATATACAAAGCAAACACTTTTTAAATAGCATTCCCATGCTATGAGCCTTGCAAGGTATCTCATCAATTTAGAAAGTCTAGCGCTGTGTCATTAGAGGCAGTTTGTAGATACCATGTTCT